AGTCATGATGAGGAGCTTTCATCTTGTGCTGAGGTCCTAATTAGGAACCAATGGTTCAGACAGATCTGTGAACCACCATGTTCCCATTAGAAGTAGATTCACCTCATGATGAATGGTTATGTTTCCAAGGGGGAAAGACAAGGGGCCTACCTGCTGCTCCAAGCCAGAGACACATCCTGAGAAAGTCCTGCTCTCCCACGGCACATATTCTTTGCTCGCATGATCATGGCACTTACTGAAGTAGTCACTTCCTGGTTGCTGGACAAAATACTGAATGCCCACAACTTAAAGGAGAAGAGGGTTATTTGGCTGGTGGTTTAAGGGATTCAGTACATGGTCAGCTGGCTCCAAGAATGAACACCATGGCAGAAGAGCATGGTGTAACAAAGCCATTTAGTTTATGGTCCTTAAGAATCAGTGCAGAGGAGCAGCATCAAAGATGAAAGGGGCCAGGGACCAGACATGGACTCCAAGGTCCCTCCATGACCCACCCAGCCACACCCAGGAGTGTGCCTTACTAATCCCTGGGGTGGCTCCCAAGACAGCCAACTTGACAATTAAGCCTAACCATCACGGTTCCTAATACTAACACCAAATGGGCAAATTTAGCTACATTGTGTATTCCTGGAATACAAATCGGAGTTAGTTAGGAAAGGTCTCACTGTGCCCTGCAGACTGCTAAGTCCAGGAATGAGAAAACACTGCCACTGTTTCCTTGGCCTCTTGGGTCACTCTGTCTTCTGCCTAGGAAGCTCTGTGGTCACAAATGATTCCAGGACACAGCAAGGAGCCAGACAAGTGAAACACAGATCCTGAAGCTGGTGGTTGTTAAGCTTAGCAATGAGATATCACTTCTTATACCACACCTGTTCTGGCTTTGAATTTGTAACATCTTTAGACTAGCAAGTCCCACCCAGGATAAGCTTAATAATTTATAATCTGCTACTAGATTCAATTTTTATAAGACTGTAGCATATGTGTAAGTATTCTATAGTCAGTAAAGTGAATAAGATAACATCAGGGTGAATATAATGGAAAGTGGCTTTATTATGGTTTAGAGAGAAAGGCATTCTCCCTATTTAACCATAGTCCCCTGTCTCTGAACACTCGCCTTCCTTGTACAGCTCCAAGACGACATGAAACAGACAGAAAAGCACCTCGCAGCACAAGGGAAACACAGACACGCGGAAAACCAAAGTGCAGAATTTTAAGTATAGCAAGACCAGTGCTAACCTCCTGGGCCACAGTCAATGCCTGAAATGATGAAACTGACTCAGCTGAGTCAATCTGCACATTCCAATGTCTAAGTGATGCTTTCTTGCTTTGTGTTCATTTATTAATGTGCTGCAAAACATTGCTATTCAAATCTTTGCCATTGTTGCCAATGGTTATTAAACACTCCTGATTAAGCACTCTGTGTAGTTTACTATTTCTAAAAACAACTTTTTAAGAAGGATAAGCATCATCGGGTTTGAAAATTCTACCTTGAAAACAAGAAGAGGGAGAAGATGATCCATGCACACAGGGTTACTAATTCCCGGGGGTCAAATTGGTTCAGTGACTCATTTTAAAATGTCATTTCAGTTTCTATCATTTCATTTTTGTTTGTTTGCAAGAGCACTGTTTTAAAGATTTTTTATTTTTGTGGGGTTTTTTTCTTTTGGTACCAGGGATAGAACTTGGGACCTTGCATTTGCAAGGCAGGCAGCAGAACCACTGAGCTAAATCCCTGGCAAGACCACTGTTTTAAATTGCTACATCTAATATCTCTTCAATCAGTGACCAGGCCCAAGACCTAGGGAAGGTAATTGATTCTCTCTTTATTTTCCTTCAGCAAGCATGCATGGAGCACTTACTGTGTGCAAGACATGGTTTGTAATGAATCAGGCCAGGGCCCTGGGAAGTAAGATGGGTGATAAGGATTCAGTACATCATTGTCATAGCCACAGGTGTCTAAGGTGCCACAAGAGCTGAAAGAGACAGTGGTCAGTTCCATCCAGGCTGAGATGGCCCACTAGCTTGACCCTGAGTTATGGGTAAGAGTTCACTGGCAAACAGGATAGGTGGGTCACTTCCAGTGGCAGGAAGCACAGGAGACAGGCATAAAAGGCTGAAGCTGAGAGCACATTCTTAGGCACTGGAAGTGTGTGCCCTGGAGTAGCAGTAATGGGCATCACATGCCATGCCACCCTGATCAGGAAGGGGAGAGGTTGCTAGGTTTTCAGCCAAGTGGAATACGGTGATCCCCCAAATGCATGTCCTGAATCCAAGCGTTAGAAGGACCAAGCCCTTGAGGAAGTGACCAGCCATGTGGGTAGAGCCTTCCCGAGTGAGATTAGTTAGCACCTTATAAGACACGCCCCAGAGAGCTGCCCGCCTATCCCCTCACACAAGGACAAGAAGGTACAGCAAGTCCCTGACTTAAAACATTCGAGTTGCGAACTTTCTCAGGTGTACTGCCTAAGACTTACTTTGTCTTTGACTTCCCTGACTCTAGAATTGTGAAAAATAACTTCCGTTTACAAGCCTCCAGGTTTAGGGTATTTTGTTAGAGCAGCCTGAATGACTAAGACAACCAGCACACTCAGACACCTGGGTGTTACAAAGGTGGGTGACAGGGCAAGACCAGGGGTAGGGGCTGCTGCAGGCCCTGGGTGGGCACCAAGTGGACTAACCCAAGGTGATGCTGAGAAGGAGTGGAGCCCAGTGCCACTTAATTGTACATCCCCCTCACTTGTTCTGGAAGTTGTGAATCGCACCTGTGCAGGTGGGGAAACAAAATTTTCTAATTAGAAATAGCACCATTTCTCATTTAAGTTTTATCTTAAATCCACTCCGGCTTCAGTTCCCTACCAGCACTGCTTTCAAGTTTCTCTTTAGGCAGCTCCATGTCTTCAGGTAAATTGCAGACTCTGAACTCTCCAAGGCAGGGTCCTGTGGGCCCACGATCCCCCTCAAGAGGAGACAGAGCTGTGAAGGGCCACATGCTCTTCGTCTGCTGGGCTGTAAGCCTCGCCACTGGCCTGGTCCACTGGTCCCTGGTGGCTTCCAGGAGCTCCGGCTGCTCTCCAGATCTGAAGGCCGGGCCTTACTTGGTCACACCAGGAAGAAGGAAGTAGCATGCAGGCACAGACACAGGAGATGGTAGAGCAGGAAGCAGAGTGTGTGGAAGTTCTCCTAGTCACCTTCACTTTCTCAGCTAACTAGGAAGCAAGGTTTTCAGTTGGGTGAAGACAGTGGGAGCAGGAAGAGAAGTGTCATGGGGAAGGAATAAGCCACATGGCATGCAAGGAATGGAATTTCATGCCATACTCAGTAAGTGTGTAGGATTACCAGGTCCATTAAAAAATTTAAAAACGTACTTAGAACAGAACTAATACAGTCTGATTACCAAATGACCAAGGCCCACTGGAAACTCCCGGCCAGACTGGGCACATGGTTCTCTCTGGCCTCTGTTCTCTGTGAGGTGCAGACACAGGGAGGTGGAAATCAGGCTCAGCCAGTGTCCAGGCTTGCAAGATAAGGTGGGGAAAGGAATGGAAAGTGGTTCGAGAGGATGGTTATAAGAAGAAGCTGGAAATCAAGCTGGGTACAAGGGAAGAAAGATACAAGTGGGATCAGGAATGGGAGAAAGGCAATGGGATAACAAGCTGTTGGGGACAGAACTGCTGAGGACAGGGTAGCAAAGGAAGTGAGCAACGGGAACAGACACTGTGGCAGGAAGCAGGGAGCTTGAAATGGGCATCATGGGATTTGTGATTACCATGGTATGTGGTTGTGGGCTGCAGGGCTGAGGAAGTGTATTTGTGAGACCTCTGGAACCAAGAGACCAGAAATCAGGGCAACAGTTAGGTTGAAAAACCAGGGTGAGTTGGGAGAGACGGAGCTGGAGATGCCTGCAGCAGCACATGGCCTGTGGATGGCTGGTTTGACAGGGATTCAGACCCAGAGCTCTAGAAGAGAGGGAAACAGAAAAGGCAAAGTCTGGACATGGCAAGGTGAAGAGGAGCAAGGCAGACATCCACCCCGACCATAGGAAGCATACAAGAGATAAAACCTGTTCTTGGAGAAGGAAGCACGGAAGTGATGCAGTAGCCCATGTACCAAAGAATTGACGAGCACTGGAGACATTTCTGCCCTCTCAGCAGCCTGCCTTATTTGCTATTTGTAAAGATATTTTTAAAAGAGTAATGATTTTGAAGCAGAAAGACAAAATGAGATGTGTTAAATGTTGGCATTGTGGAGAAATGCTTTATCCCAGCTCGCAGAGAATGTGAGACTCCTAATATTCAACTGTGTCTCCTGTATTTGGCTGGAGAGGCAAGAACTGCAGAGCGATAGACCTGGGTTTCCATTTCCACTCACTTTAGTCTTTGTCCCAAGGAAACATAATAAGCAGCCTGGAACAGTGCGCTATTGTTCACATTATATGGGTGGGAAGATTAAGCCCTTAATTAATCAGGGAATGAGTAATTGATCATTGTTAAGTCCCTGAAAGCAGTCACGATTACACATGGGTCTACGAAATTGATAACTGTCTTTTTCCCTCCAAATGGTCATGATTGCTCATGAGTCATTTTGTAATGAACGCTGAATCATTGTTCACTGCCCTGGGAATGGTGATTAGTGGTTTGGTGGAGCTCAGGATTTTCTTGACGTGGAAGCCTTCCCACAATTCATGTCAGCCTCCTTTGAGAGAGATTTCCAGATTTAAATACACCTGGAAGGGTAAAGGAGCAAAAGAGGGGGAAAAAAATTTGCAAAAAGCACACCAAACTTTTCAAGTAAAAGTGATTTGAATTCGACGCCCAAGGAAACCTGGTGGCAAAGTTACATTAAGGAGAAGAATTCAGAATCCCAATATTAACCTTGTTCTCAAATCTTCCCCCACTGGCATCACCTTTGTGGGAAGAAAGGAAAGGAAAGGGAAGAAGGAAAGTAATTACCAGTAGGAATACAGAATAACTGCCAACAAGATTGAAAATTCACCTCTGCTTCCTGGCTTTAATGGTCTCAAGTTAAGGATTAACTCTAACATGTTCTTCAAGTTATTGTTTTCCCCAACACCTTCTTTCTCGACTATGTTGAGTCAAAGAAAGAATCAAAGGGAATCTTTCAAGTCACAGCATCTGCAGCGCGTCTTCGACAGAGACGTTCCTCCTCCACCAGGCCTGCTGTTCGCCTGGTGCTGAGCTCAGCCACATAAATAAACATGGACAGAGGCAAGCACAGGGCCGCACTTGGTGATCACAGAGAACACTTCCTGGTGATGTCATGGTGTGAACTGCAAAACAGAACAACAACAGAGTTCACTGGGAGGATCTTCCTGAAGAGCTTATGTAAATTGCCAGCGCTGGACGTGTTAATTGACACACAGAGCGTCGATCAGCCATTGTGCAAATGTTTATTCCAACAGATTTAGAGGGAGAATTACTTATTCTCCCCAGTGCACTTGGCAGCTCCTCAGGTCACGCGAGGAACTTGAGCACCATCGGTTACGCTGCTAAACTAGAACAGGGGTGAGCAGCACAGCGCATTCACAGCGCAGTGTAGGAGTCAGGACAGGTGTGCCCAGCAAACCAGATACAGGCAATCAAGGTTTTCAGATTGGATGCTACAGAGTGATTATTCACTAAACAGCAAAAGATTGGGTGCTTTATCAAAAACCAACTCACCCCTCATTTCTTCTAATAGGCTTATCTCCTAATGCAGTTTAAAAACAAGCTTGTGTTTAGAACATTTTTTATTGACTATTGTGCAAAATAAAGCATTCCTATGAAAAAGGATCAGTCTGCTTCAATATTTCCAGTCCTACTCCACAGCCACCAGGATCAGGAAAAGTAAGGTAAACAGACACTAAATTTCCTTGTCTCCTTTTTTATGTGACTACATAAGAATTCTTTATTCATACAGATTCTTACCCCATTAAGACCATTTCATCTTTCTAGGCAGGGTTTTTCCAAGCACGCATTTTAAAAGAGGTTTAGGTATCCCTTCTACCTCTCCCCTTTTGCTCTCTGGCCCTTTATCACTCCCTTCTGTTCATAAAGTCCTCTGATCCCTCCCCCACCCACAGGGATGGCCTACTCGCCTGCCCAACCCTTCCTGGAAGGAACTTGAAAAAGTACCAGCCCTCTGTCCATTTTTCCAGCCCCAAGTTTGTAAGTCTAATTTGGGAAACAAATCCAGGTCTAGGTATTAATGGATAACAATTTTCAGAGCGTTCCCCTGTTCATGTACTATATTTACATTCAGATTGAACTTCAACCCACCTAACTGGAAACCCAAATCCCCTACACGTGAATTCTTCTGTTTCTGCTTCCGGGACAGACAGCAGATCGGTAACCCAGGGGAGAGTCAGTGGAGGAGTGATCTCCAAAGAGGAATTCAAGCTGCCAGGCATACTTTTTGGGTCATGAGATGATGTCATGACTCATGCTTTTACTGATGCTCTCTAAACCATGGCAGAAAAAAGGTTCATGTCATCTTTTTTATCAGACTTGTGATGCCAGCTCAAATTAATGAAGGTGAATTCTGTGGGAAGCAGCCACCCCAAGACCTCTCTTCCCTAGACAGTTCCTCATATCTAACATTAAGATGGAGCATGAGAGGGTTAGAAGTTCAGAACAGTTCCAGAGAGAGATTTTTTATTGCATATAAGGGGAAGTTGAATGAAAAACTATTAAATAGAGGAATCCAATCCAGGTGGTCCTAAGCAGAAAAAAAGATGTTGGAGGACTGCCTGGAGAGTAGGGATGAGACATCCACCAGAAGGGACACTCTGGAGCTCTTCTGACACAAGAAAATGGACATTGGGTTCCACCACATAGACCCAGTGAGGGACCAATCAATAGGAACTCAGATTAGAGCAAAAAATAGGAAAGAATGAGGAGTCAAGAAATCTAAGAATGAAGAATAGAAAAGTTTACTCATGGTGGTATTAAATCATTCATGTGTTTAAGAAATATCTATTAAATACAACAAAAGTCACATAGAACTATGTATCATAATGGTGAACAAGATACATATCATCTGTGCTACTATGAAACACATAATCTATCAAGGAAGATACATAAGAAAACAAGCAACAACCACTAAGGAGGTATACAGGATACTTGGGAACAGGAAGCAAAAGCCTAACTCTTCAGTAGAAATGCCAGGTAGGTGGGCTTGGTTGTCATACAGTAATGAAGACTTTCTAAAGGGAGCGGCAGACAAAGCTGAAGGTCCAGATGGATGGTTCTCAATTCAGACCCAATTTTCTATTTCTGTTACAAGTACTTTAAAACACACTCCTTATTATCCTGAAGTAAAAAGAACAGGAAATATAACCACCTTGTCCACATAATATAATCAGTATGATTCCCTTAATTAAAAAATCACTTAAAATAATATGTGTTTCAGTATGCAATTTTTACTCACTTCATCGTAAAATCACCGTACATGCAATAGGCTCTCAGGCAGATTGCTCCCGGGATACCATGATGGAGGTTCAAACACCAGGAGACCTTTTCCATTGGTGAAGTGACTCATAGATGATGAACAACTCTCAGTTCAAATAAAAACAAGATTCCATCTTCCCTTGATTCACACAGTTCTTGTAGTCCTAGAAAATCAGTATATATTAAATGGTGCAAAATAGACTTTGGATTCATCAAGAAAATAGAAGCTCATAGAAGAGAGGGGTTTTCACCTATAGGAGTAACACAAGGGGCATTTGAATGTGTGGAAATACACAGAACTATGCAGAATTCTCCCAAATGTTACACAATATCTGGACCCCTGACCCCCCTCACTACATATTAGTTGTGCTTCTCAGTCACCAACCAATAAAATATCCCCATGCTTTTCCACAGGGCTTTCCACCTGTTGAGAACCATGGATCTTAAAAACCACAGTCCAAAATGAACCTGAATAAAATGAGAGAGACATCTGTGTAACCCTAAAGCAGATTATTTCATGGGCAGCTGTGCTGTTAAGTCCAAGCCCAAGTGGATTTTGTACCTTCCATGGAACACACAGCCCAGGCCACGGTCTCACAGCAGGGACCTGCCCAAGGACAGGGTGTGGCCAGGAAGACCCATTGGAAGCCTCTGCTGGACATGTGCTGGGATGGTCAGGGAACAGCGAGTTCTCTTTTCTCTAGCTATATGAGTGGTAAGCAAAATGTTCAGCATCTCCACACAAAACCCCAAACTTCTTAACTATATGACAAATGCAATGCTTTGAAAATGGATTCTTGCTGCTATTTGTTAAATCAAATGTCCAGTGGATACTAAAGTGGGAGTGAGGAGAGGTGTCTTAGGCCATATGGCTGCTATAACAAAATACCCTGGAGTGGATAATTCATAAACAATAGTCTTGGGCTCCCAACTCTTGAAGCTGGGAAGTCCAAGGTACCAATAGAACTAATACTTGGTGAGGGCTTTCTGCTTCGTAAATGGTGCCTTGTTGCTATGTCCTCACATGGTGGAAGGGGCCACAGGCTCCCTCACCCCTTTTTTGTAAGCACAGTAACTCCATTCCCAAAGGCAGAGCCCTTGTGACCTAACCACCTGCCAAAGATCCTGCTTCTTGATACTATTACATTGGCTATTGGGTTTCAACACATGAAGGGAAGGAGGGGTTGAGCTCAAAACATTTAGCCCTTAATAGAAGGTATGATTCTTCTTCCCTCCTGATTTTCTTTTCAAGATGCATGGTGAGTCAGCTTTCCAACACTGTGATAAAATACCTGAGATAATCAGTTTGAAAGAACTACTTACAGTTTCAGAGGTTTCAGTCCATGGTTGGTTGGCCCTGTTGCTTTGTGCCTGTGGCAGCACAGAACATCATGGTAGGAGTACATGGCAAAGAAGGTCAGCTTGCCTCATGGTAGATGGGAAGTGAAGAGAGAGAGGAAGGTATAAGAATCCCAGCATCCCCTTCCAGGCCATTCCCCAAGTGACCTAATTTCCTTCCACTGAGCTCCAGTTCCTAAAGGCTGCAGTACCTCCCAAATAGTGCCACATGCTGGGAGATGGTAATGAGGAGGAAGATGAAGATAAATGCTTATGCAACCTTTACAGCCTGCCAGGCATTGTTCTAAATTCATAGTATATATCATTTCACTCAATGTCCCCAAGGGCCCCTTAAGATGTTCTACAAAGAGTGAAAGCAAGACCCAAAGATGTGAAGTTACTTGTCCGAGGTCAAACACTAGAGAGCAGGAGAGCTGGAAATCCACACCAGGCAGTCACATTCCTCTCCTGCACTTTCCATCTCTGCACTCACCTCTTGTTATATTATGATAATCAGAAGGGTCTCTGACCCCCATTTCCCCTTGAATAAAGTTCTTTAGTCTCCCTTTTCCTTTTAAATTGGGAACATTCTCCAAAAACTTTTCCTAACTCACCTCTGCTATTCCCACTGAGCAGGCAGAAAACCTTCTTAAAATTCTTGGAGATACAGAAAGTGTCCTCTGGTGCAGCAGAGGAGTTGGGGTCACCTTTCTTTCATCATTCAAAATATAACTCAAAATGTATTAGCAGGGAAATGCACACTGAAACAACAATGAGATAACACTGCACACTTCTTACAGTGGCCAAGGTCTAGAACACTAAATGCTGTTGAGGATATGGAGTAACAGGAACTCTCATTTGTTGCTGGAGGGACTGCAAAATGGCACAGTCCCTCTGAACACACTATGAAAGTTGCTTAACAAAACCAAATATATCCTTAAGATAGCATCCAGTAATTTCACTCCTTGGTATTCTCCTAAAGTAGTTAAACACTTAGGTCCACCAAAAAAAAAAAAAAACCTTGCATATGGGTATTTATACCAGTTTTTTCATAATTGTCTGACTTGGAAGCAATCAAGATCCCTTCTAGCTAATGAATACATAAAATTGTGGCACTGTGTTAATCAGCTTTCCATTATTGTAACAAAAAAAGCTGAGGTAATCAACTTATAAAGAGAGAAGAGGATGGGGGATTTAGCTCAGTGGCACTGTACCTGCCTTGCAAGCACAAGGTCCTGAGTTCAATCCCTGGTACTGCAAAAAAAAAAAAAAGAGAGAGACAGAGAGAGAGAGAGAAGGTTTATTTTGGTTCATGGTTTCAACAGGCCTAGTCCATGGTTAGTTAGTCCCATCACTTTTAGGCCTGTGATGAGGCAGCTCATCACGGCAAGGAGTGCCTGGCAAAGCAAAGATGTTGATCCCACAGCAAGGACTCAAAAAAAAAAAAAAAAAGACAGAGAAAAGGGTAAGTATCCTATTATTCCTTTCAAAGGTGTTTCTCTAATTACCTAAAATCTCCCATGAGGCCCCACCTCTTACAATTTCCACCATCTGTTAACTGCACAACTCTCAGGAACGATTGTTAAGCACACGAGCTTTTGGAGGACATTTTATTCAAACTCTAGCAGATACTTGGACAATGGGATATTCAGTGCTAAAAAAAGAAATGAGCTATCAAGCCATGAAAAAGTATGGTGGAAACTTACATGTACATGTATATTACTAAGTAAAAAAAGCTAGTGTGCAAAAGCTGCCAACTAGAGGGCATGCTGGCATTGCCACCACTATGGAGAGGGTAGTAGTTACCACTGGCTGGGAGGGGAGGATTTTAGGGCAGTAAAAATACTCTATATGATGATGACACATTTGTCAAAAGCCCTAGAGGATCCCATACCATGAACAAACTCTAACACAAACTACAGATGTTGAGAGGCTATGACGTGTCTATGGGGGCTCAGCAATGATAATAAACGCCTTAGTCTGGTAAGAGATGTTGATGAAGGAGGTACAAGTATAGGGGCAGAGGTACCTGGAAAATCTCTACACTTTCCTCTCAGTTCTGCTGGGAATCTAAAATTCCTTTAAGGGCCAGGAATTTAACTCAGTGGTTCCACCACCTGCCTCACAAGCACAAGGTCTCATCCCTGGTACCAAAAAAATAAAAATAAAATAAAATTCCTTTAAAAATAAAGTCTTTTAAAAATACAATTAGTTACAACATTGCCTCATTATAATTGCATTTTAAAGCTCTATAGTACATATACGTGGGGTTGTTTTCCCAGTATGATCACACTGTAGTCAACAAATCTTTGCCTAACATTCAATAAGAATTGTCCTAATTCAAAATTAGTTGAAGATTTGCAAGTGCTTTCTAAGAAGTTCCCTGGAAGGTCTTATTTACCCCCAACTTGTACATGAACTCTATTGGATTTCAAGTCTCTTGGGCATGCTTGAGCTTGTAAAGTCAGCCGCTTTCCATTCTGGCCCATCGTCAGGTAAATGGTAAGAGAGAAAAGTGAAATTCCAGTTACAAAAGCACTGTGAATTCTTTTTTTATCTTGTATTTGCCATTCTCTTAACTTGGGCGTCTTTAACTTGAAATACTTGGCAAGCAGTTTATTCTTAAAGGTTATTTTATTCTGTCTTTTGTGACTATTGTATTCCTGATGGAGAAGTGAATCGTCTTATTCAATCCCAGGGAATGTGGCATATAAATATTTTACCATTTTAGCTAATTACATTTTCATTATGCTTGTCCTGAGGCTTTGTAGGCTAAGAGTAAAATGTATTAAATCTGAAATAGAAAAACCATGACTTCCATTAATTCCTAAGTGGGATCCATTTCCGGTTTAGATGGAGGAAGATACTCACTGTGACCTCAGTACAGTGGTACAGTGAACCTCTGTGGGGCTGTTCCAGGGTCAGCCACACCTCCTGACCCCAAGTTAACAGATTTCCCCAACCTCTCTCCCTCTCTCTCTCTCTCTCTCTCACACACACACACACACACACACACACACACACACACACACAATTTCTTTAGCTCATGAAGGTTTCCTGGCCTTTTAAATACTACCAAAGGTATTAAGCCTTATCAGGTCTTAGCCTTGTTATCAGCCAACACCTTAGTTGACAACTAGCTGGAAGTGAAAGCTGGCCAGGAATCTGGCCCTCACAGGCACTGGGCCAGGGCAGGACAGGAGGGTTGTCATGGGGCAGAACAAAAGTGCTGCAGACACAGCGAAAGTCTAGGGACAGCCTGGAGCATGATGGGGCAGGACACGGAGGGTCTTACCTTCAGGCAGGTTTTACTTAGAGCTGGCAGGAAGGGCCTGGGCCTTCCCAGCACGGAGGAGCTGAAGGAGGAAAGAGGGGCCACAGCTGTTGGTGGAGCCACTGTTCAGTCCCAGTTGGACCTGGTTAAAGAAGAGTCACTCGGCCAAGGGAGGGGATACAAGCCCTGCTACCTCACCTCCAGACAAATGACTCTTTGTGCTTCTCAGACTCTTTGTCCACACTGACAATGCAATAATCCACCTCACTAATACAAACTAGCTACCAGTACTTTGTATTGCAATACCTACAGCATGTCACATACTGCTTTCTGAATGCTGTGCGCATGCCATGTAACTTAGCCCTCGCTGCACCTGTGTGCAGTAGATGACAGGCTGTGTGCTTTTCCATCTTCTATAGATTAGGACTGAGTTAAAAGAAGCAGAACAATTGACCCAGGAGCACGCATTCTGCTAAAAAGAATTCAAACCAGATTGGTTTAATTCCAGAGCCTACGATTTTACACACTATCATTTTTTACTTCTTTATATTTATGAATTTTTTAAAAAGCTATTATTTTACTATCAAAACATTCTGAGAAATACAGTGGCTGTGCATGTTTAACTATTTCTGTTCTAGAAATTAAAAAGCAAAGACATGAAGGTAATGGCCCTGAGTTCTTGGTGAACTACAGAGCATAGACAGAAACATGCTGGGCAGGACCTACACATGATATCCTATATGAAATAACCTATCTTTCTTTTTCACCCTCAACAATGCAAATGGCATTTTTTGGCACTGAGATTAAACCCAAGGCCCTCTTACTAAGCTACATCCCCACCCCTCTTTTATTCATGTTTATGTGCTTGCTCATTTTAGCATTTGTTCTGCATCTACCATGGAGAATATGTCTTTCACAGGGGAAGGTCCACATCAAGACTTCATCTGCTCAATATGTTCATGAACTCAACTCTATGGTTTTGAATAACATTTAGATAAAAATCATCACATTAGGAAGTTCTAATCAGAGTATGCTGCCTGGGCCATGTTTACCCGGTCACCCTGTGTATTCCTGAGAGAGGTTGCCCATGACCATGCTGGCTCCGGGCAGCCCCTGGGGAGAAATAACAGACAGCCCACAAAGGCACTACCAACAAAGGTTTCCAAAAGTTTTAACAAGCAGACTTCGTTTTTTATTGACTGAAAGGGAAATGGAGTCAAGAGGGAAATTGCAATAAAATTGTTGGTAAGTCAAAGGTTTGTTTTTGTTTCTATGGATTAGTTCTCACACATTTCCTGTTACTAGACTTAATTTTGGTAATGTGTAATTATAACCAGCAGCCTACCATTAGGCAATGAGTAGTAAAGTCTATTTCCTGATGAAGTTCAGAAAGGCCAGAGGTTAATTGGCCATGCCTAGTTAAAATGTCATGGGCTTAAAGGTAGTTTCTCACTTCCACAAAGGAACTTCCAATATTATCAGAACCAGGGATGGTTCAACAGCCTAGTAAAATGTTAGACACACGAATGTCTTAGTTTTAGAGAAACCAATCTAATTTTTTCTTAACTGTGCCACATTAAATAAACAGCTCCAACTTCCTGGAACCTGAAGAAAACACAAAAGGCTTTCAGAGTCTGGGCCTCCAAATCTGACCTTACAGCCCTCCGCTCACTACAAAGAACAGAAGCAACTGAAATTTATACTCATCATCAATTATACAGAATCAGATCTGTCACCAGCCTCGAGAGCTCAGTGTTCCTGGGGAAAATGAATATCATATATTAACAGAAAGTCCAAAGGGGATTTAGAAGGACAGGAGTGGAGCTGCCAGAAGAGAGTGACAAAAGGTCCTGTGTGTGACCACAGATCTGCAGTGAAGAGTGAATTCTAAGTCAGACTTAGCTTTACTGCCTGGACATCTCATCAAGGTACCTAAAAAGTCAAAACGAACAGTTTTTATGGAACACAATTACTGATTTCCATTCAGCATTTCAATGAGACAAGGATTTGTGCTTTATATCTGAATATCTTCCCAAGAGCCTCATGTGCTCAGAGGTGGGGCTCATGGGAGGTGATTGGATTATGGGAGTGCTAGAGTTGACATGCTGTCAGGAGCTGGGGTCTGGTCAGAAGAGGTAGGTCACCGAGGGCGTGACCCAGAAGGTTATATCTCCCTCCCTGTCCATCATCTCCCTTTTCTCTTGCTTCCCAGCCACCATAATGTGAGCAGTTTTCCTTTCCCCTGGCCCTTCCAGGCAATCAACCAGGCAAGGAATGAGAATTCTAAAATAGGAGCCCAAATAAACCTCTCCTCCTTTATGTTGTGAATATCGGGTATTTTGTCCCAGTGATTAGGAAAGTAAATAAAACACATGGGAGGGGTGATTATCAGTAGGTGAGAGAAAAGATAGAGAGAATAACCTTAAGTCTAGCTCATCTAACCAAAATTTTCTGTCATGAATCAGCAGGACAGATTGGGGAACTAATGCAGAGTCACAGATACGTGGCCAGAAGTCCAAATTAGCCAAATAAATTCTGGAATTGGGTATTTGTTAATAATTTACAAATAAGATAAACCAGGACAACTGCTACACATACTTCAAAGCATACTTTTGTTTTCAATTAATTCTTT